CAGGTTAGACGGTAATGGGCCAAAGCCAATCATCATTGCCTTTAAGTGGACTGAATATGGCATCACAGCCCACACATTGTTCCATTGCCATGACATGTAACTAAACAGCCTTCAGCTTATCAAGAAGACTCTCTAGGTTTACATGGTTCATAAACTTTTGCTAGATATCAGTGCCTGATGCAATTGCGAGGCAAAACATGGATCTTGAGAATTCTCATCGTCCAGAGGATGGATAACCACCGAATCATCAGCAAAATTATGTGAAACCCATCTTTCAGAATCATCTTGCTCATTTGGAACAGCACAGACAACAGTTCTCAGAGCGAGATTTCCTCTTTGGCTTCCAAAAAGAAATATGTGATTTCTAGAGGCTAGATTTTTAGCATGGAGCTTATAGGGAAGATATGTGCAATTCTGATAAAAGTTGGGAGATGTAAAATTAGAAGATACAATAGCTAGGTTGCCCTGCACAAAAGAAAAGGCTGTCAAACTTCAAATAAAAGGGAGGACAAGCAAAAACAGTTTGAAAGACCAGAAAGAGATGTCATATAGAAGAAAGTCCTACCAATGGCCAATGGCTTAAAGCAATGAATAAAATCTTGAATAGGTGGTTTGCTATAGCATATGAAGAGGATTATTAAGATAAAAATGTCAAAAAGAAAAAATAAGTTGAAAATAGCAAAGGGATTTCGAGTTAAAAACTCACTACATATAGTGATTAGTTCTTAATAATTCATTGTTCCGTGTTCAGGTTTCAGGTTTCAAATTGTTAGAATAGTAGTTTTATCAAACACTCCCAAGAATAATTTGAAAAAATCACCCGGAAATAAGAAGGATGGAAGAAATAGGAGAAGTTCACATTCTTGGCTCAAATCTTGAAATCGGGTTATGAATTTTCAAAATCCTTGTATGATTCGTCTTGAATTGATTATAGACTTGTTCTTCGCCTCCAAAATATGTTGAATATGATGAAATTTAGGTCGAAATGAGGTCTCCTTACGTTTTGATCGAGTTTAGTATTTAAAAAATGTCAAAAAAGATTGCATTGAATTGTTATCAAAACAAAAGAAGGAAATTGAGATTTTTTCCGTTTTAGCTTTGAGGCGCGCGCCTTGGAGGTTTGGGCAGCCTCTTGGTCTAGGGCGCCGGCCTCTCCTACATGCGAGGGCGTGCGCCTCGCCTAATTTTTGGTAGCTGAATAGTTATCACTATTTTTGTCATAACTTTTTCTTCCGATATTCGATTGAGGTGATTCAAAATGTATTGGAAAGCTAACTTGGAGGGCTACAAATCTTCCAGTAATTTTTCCAATTCGAACATTTTCTATGCCAAAAATGGGTCTCAAATTGGGACTGAAAATTTGAAGCATAACTTTTTCGGTTGGAAGTTGATATGTGATAGTACTTGAATTATATTTCATCCATTTGACTTCTTTCCTCATCCAATTGATGTCTAACACTCTCAAATCTTCATAGTGAGGTTCAACGTAACTTTTGAGTATTTGCATTTCAGTCCCCGAACTTTGTATTTGATACAATTGAGTCATTTTCCTCTATCTTTGCATTCTTTTATCTAATTCTTCATCAAACATTGAGTTTTACCTACAAAATGAAATACAACACAAGTTAGGTAGTATTTTATCCAAAGAATAGTAAAATATCATCATTTATGACCTCGAATAAGTGTAGAAACTACATTTATCAGAAAGAGAGAGACAAAGAACCTTTATAAGGCCGAAAGAAGCGGCGAAACCGAAAAGGCAAGGAAGATGGAAAGCCCTAGAACATACACACGAAGATCGATAATTAGATTCAAGATTCAGTTTTTTCCTGATTATTATTATACATTGTATGCATAAACCATATATATATCTATAAAATAATCTAGAAAGTGAGTTGGGAGTGCGGAGGGCGCGTGTCCAGATTCATGAGCTAATCTTCAATTTATGGAACCCACCAAGTGCGATTTGTGGATCGATGAAAAAGTCGCTTTTAAAATTGAGTACTTCGTCCACAACTATTCATGCTGTAAAAAGTTAGTCCTCAAATTAGGATTGTAAGCGGAAACCGTCGAATTGAAAAACTGAACCAAAACTTCTTTTCTGAAACCCCCAATTTGAAACCAACCAAATCATTCGAACTTTCAACGACGATTTGAAACCAAAACGGATCTTTTAAAAATTAAACTAGAAATTAAAAATAAAATAATTTTTTTAAAATTTCCAAAATTAGAAACCTCCAAAATAAAATGTAAATTAAAATGGGTAGCATATTCAATTCCATTACCAAATACTAACAATTAATGGCTTTAACATGTTCACACTACATAAGTGCACCACATTTTAATTGTATGAAAGATCCATAACTTTTACTCATTATTACAACTAAGCCCCCTACCTTTTTCATCGCATTCTTATCTTCAACTTTTCATTAAATAGGACCTTTTGTTCTTAATAACGAATTCCATCCAAAATATTTCTCTTTTTCAAGTACCCTAATGGAATTTTAGAAGGAATCGTCATTAAGAACAAAATTCGCTGATTAATGAAAATTTAAGGATAAAAATGTAATGAAAAAAATTCAAGGATATAAATACGACAATATATAAAAATTATGAACATTTAATACAATTATAATGTAGTCCATTTATGAAAAGTTATGATGTGAACCACCCATAATAAATTAATCAGCCTAATTTGGTATATATTCTTAAGTCAGTACTCCATACTTCAATTGTGTCCGTAAAGAAAACCACTTCAATTGTGATGCGAAAACAGCGCACACTAGAATTCCTATGCCATGAACCAAAAGCAAGAACTAGAAAATCAATTATATTTCAATCACACTATGGCCTTGATCAAATCTTTTCAATTAATAAGCAACCTATCGTACCAATTATTAAGTCACCAATCACGAGTTAATGAGAAAGCCAATTACATCCTTGTATTTGTCGCACTCCTCTAGCACCTTCACTACTACATTACATGTAGAAACTACCATCTGCTGCCTGCGCCATAATGCATATATATTCCCGAATACAAGGAAAAGGAATACGGAATGCCAGAAAACAGGCATCATACGTGGACCTGTTGTGGACCTCAGAACTCACGAAGAGCTTTCACCTCCTTCTTGACAAAAGACGGCAAGCAAAAGGCAGCTTTGTGAATCTGTCGAGCGCGCACAAAACATTTTTTCATTGGTCTAGTCATTAGCCTCAAAGACAATTTCTAAATGACAACCTTAAACAAAAACAAAATTTTATGATCACAATGGCAACATTCAAAACAGAAGAGAAGATACCTCGGAGTTGTAAAACCTGAGTTCCCGTCTATGCTGAAGGGCACCCTCTATCTTCTCAATAGGATTGATAGGGTTCTTAAAATCAACTGGCGGCCCCTCAGTAGAGCATAATAGGAATCCTATAACACCACTGTTGATATCAGACAGAAACTACATAAGAACATAGTCAAGCTGGTTGCCAAGGATACTAATCAAATGATAGCATGTAATAAGAAGAATATGCAAATAAAGATTGTCAATAATTTCTCTCACCAAGCCTTATTCAATAGTTGAAATGTTTGTAAATTCAAATATAAAAGGAAGCTTTGTCAACATATAATAGTTGGCCCGTTAGCACTTTAATTTAATAGGGGGATCATAGTCAACTAATGAAGAATGCCCAAACTAACTTCATAAAAAAAGGATACCTTTATACAATGTGTAGGGAATTTGCAGGAAGGAAACATGAAAAAGTTGCTAATACGGTCAGTAAAGTTATACCTTGGATATGTGGGAACACTAGTCCATGCATAATGTACAGAACCCTTAAATGTTTCACGGCAAATGGAAATCATATCTTGAATCAGATGCGTGTGGAGCCACATACTCTCTGCCATATTACATAGAACACCACCAGGCCTCAATGCTCTGGCAAGGTTCTCAAAAAATGGTTTCTCCACAAGCTCCTGAGCTGGACCTATACAGAAACAAATTCAAAATAACACTAATTGATATTATCATGGATTTATATGTACAAATGGGAACATAAAGGAAAATGCTATTGCCAAAGACAAATACTTTTGAAGTATACTACAAAACAACAATTAAAATGTTCTAGAATAGTTAAAGGTATTTCAAAAACATCAGATGTATGTGAACAAATGGGAGAGTAATGTAAAAGATTTATGCCACCCAAAAAGAACTTAGGATTTTTTTCAGAACAGAGAGCCTAGAAACAGTAGGTGCGGACAAATGCATGTTATGACCCAATACATACCTACAGGGTCCGATGAATCAACAATAATAGCATCATACTTCCCTTCGGCTGCTTGCCGTAGAAATTCGACAGCTGCCAAAATCATGAAACAGAATAATCGGAACACAATTGTAGAACTTGAGAATGAATGGAAATGAAGACCATTTTTTTGTAGAGCATGACAACCTCGTCCCTCTCTGGTGAGTTACTGTAGTATTCATGACCTTATTGTTTTCAGGTTAATATCCTTAATTATTTATATAAATTCAACTTGTAACCCAATTAAATTTGCAGAACACCTAACCATCAAACTTTGTAAGTCATATTTCAGAACATTGACACGAGCAAGTTGAAAGGTTTAGGCATTACCATCACCAACACTTAGTCGCACGCGAGGATCCTCAAAGCCAAGAGCTAACTCTGGAAAAAACTCCTTGCTAACCTATATAATACAGAAAACAATGGATAGAAAACCACAAGAATGCAATAAGGAAAGAGTATTTATTGAATACTTGTAACACAAGTTTCAACCACTCACATCTATAACCATTTTATCTATCTCGCAAATATCAATCAGCTCCACAGAGCTGTGGCGGGCAATTTCACGAAGAACTCCACCATCGCCTCCACCTACAACCAGAACCTGTACTAGTGGAAGGGGCATAGAGATGAAGTGTTTTTAAAAAAAACAGAAAAAAAAACAGAGAGTAAAATAGAACCCATTGCATCCCTGCACGTCATGGAAAATCTTTTATCTATATTTTCATTGAGGTCAACTGTAAACTTATGTTCCATGATTATATGCCATACAACAAGTTCAAACAGTATATCTGAAATGCACTCAAAGATCCTCACTAAGAGTACCACAGAGAAGGGAGTCAAAAAATGCATCTCCGAAATAGGAACCCTTTCCTAAGTATCATCTTTTGCCCCAAGGAACATGCTAGAAGCTTGAACAATCTATTGCTGCAAATAAGTTGGACACGTTTCATCAAATAGCAGAAGAACACATCAAATAGCAGAAGAACAGAGCAATCTTCTATAAAGAACGAAATTCAGCAATTTCATAATAGACAGATGTAATATACCAGTACCTTCAGAAATATTATTGAAGAACCAAAAGAAAATTATTTACCAATATATTGATGCAGAAAGAATTAAAGCAAAGAACAACACACTTTATTTAACGGACATGGAAGCCAGCAAATCATGCAGAGATGAACGCTATTTCAGAAGTGATCAAATCTAAGTTGAAAACAACAATTGGCATACAATAGGCTGAAATAATATTAATTCAGTATCGTGACCAAGAATCCATCATATATAGAAAAATATAAGATATCAACAATTGTTCCTCTGTCACCTAAAGCAAGTGAAAGGAGAATAAGATACAGGAGTATCACAGGAACTCCACAAAAACACATTTGTTGCAATAAACAGAAATCAGAATTTACATTTTTGGGGGATTCAATGGAACAAAGGGGGAGATGAGTTATCATCTCCTGATAGGCGCATTCATCCTTCTCTGTCAACTGAACAATGCCATCTAGCACAAGCACTTTTCCATATACAGAGGACTGCAAGGGTAAGAAATAAAATGTATGAATGCATATGTGAAGACTAGAAAAGATGGGGAAAAGAAATAGAAGCACGAATATGAGTGAAAATTTATGGTAGTGCACAACCTCAAAAACCATAACCTCCTGGTACTCTGACTTTTCCTTAAACAGAATCTTTTCTACTTTCAGGGAGTGTGCTTCTCCTATAGGCAGAGACACCAGGGTTAACTAAATATAGATGCGAAGTAACAAGTGTAAACAAGAACATAAATTCTCAAGGTATACAAAGGAGCAGGACAGACATTCCTTCTTCCTAATCAAGGCCTAACCTCAAGTTCTCAAGAAATTATGAACACCGTCTTATTCTTCTCGAATGGCATCATAACTCATCCGCAATCATTATACAAGAATTACGGCATCTGAATAACACACAGTATAAAGATTTACAGTTTAATATTTCCACTGGAATTATTCCCACATATTTCTAGAGGTAAGCATCCAATTCCTTCATGAGTTTGCGTGATTAATATTTCTCAAAATCTAATTAATACCCACTAAAGTCAAATAGTCTTTAACTACTTCGGAACATACTAATGAAGGATCAAAGTTGCATCATCATCATCATCTAAAAGTAAACTTGAGAAGTAAATCAACTAATAAGCAGAACGGTTTTATCCTTAAGAAAGGTTTTAGTCAAATGGAGATAAGCAGGAAACGAAAAGGTTGATTGTGCCAATATATTAAAGACAGTTTAGATAAAAAGTTCAACGTATGCATTGGATAAACCAATGGAAGACCATATTTTTAAGTATAACAACTCATTCATAGGCTGAATGGTAAGTGAGAATAAAGGCAATGATACCTGGCCACATTGGGTTGTTGAAATAATATTCTTTCAGAGCTTTATCTGCAGGAAAAAAAAGTCAGCAAAATGACCAAAATATTAGATAGTAGGATAGAACGGAGAAAATCAAGGAGTTCTACAAATAAAAAGAGAAGAAGAAAAAGAAATATGTGCTAATACCAGAGGATGACAGAAGTTCAGAGAACCATCCCGAAACAACTGTGGAATGGCACCTAGCTTCGAGCTCAGGGTCTGATGCCTTAGCTTTCACACAACAAGAGGGGATAACCACGGCCTTGTTTGAACAATTGCTGTCACTCTCCCTCCCATCCATAGCCAACTGACATTCCAAACCTTTTTCTGCGTCGCCCTCCATATATTATAATTTTCTCCTCTGGATCCAGTCTCTTCACCGAAAATATACCCAAAAAGAGATCACTACATAAACAAAATCAAAACCAACACAACACCATTAAGGATAACTAATAAACCAAAGTTTGAAACTAAAAAAAATAAAATAAATAAATAAATAGAAAAGACAAATAATAATGTAAGATTTTTTTTATTTTTTATTTTTTATCATTATGACATTCTTCATGACTAAAACATGCCAAGAGGAGTCTAATAGTGTGATTCCAAAACCAAGTTTTACCCGTACAAAAATTAAACCAAGTTTAATGCATAAGAAAGGGTCTTGGCTAATTTTGTAGAGGCCACCTAAAATGTCAATGGAGTGAGAAAAAAGATTAATAGTTGAAGAAAGATAAGGAAATTTTAAAGGCATCCAAATGAACAGAGAGGAAATAATTTCAATACTTCGTTAAACGTACAAGCAATAAGATATTAGCCAAAACAGTACTAGAATCTCCGTATTTTTTATTAAAGGGAAGTAGAATCAATCTCAATCAATCGAGAACATTTACTTTAAATATTAAAAAAATTCCAAAGGCTACGTTGTCTTCACGCCAACTATAAAGAAACAATATCCATGAATGCAAAAGGAAAATCTTTATTCTAGAATGTGGGAAAAACTATTTTCTTGATTCCCAATTAATTATGGAAAAATTTCTCATAATGAAA